AAATTTGCTCCCTGGCAGCTGGGCAGCAGGGGGTGGGAGATTGCTCTCTGCCCCAGGGAACTGCCTGTGATCATGGGTCTGGGGGCTTCTTGCATGGGGAGAGTTCCCTGCCCAGCCTAGAGCTGGCTGAGACCTGCACATGACCAGGCAGTCCCCTGTCAGCTCTGGGCTGCACATTCAGACTTCCCTGCACAGCTCAGGGGCAGGTCCCAACCCCACAGATTTTTTCCAGCACTGTACTCCAATCAGGTGATTGAGGCAAGCGGGCGCTCACTGCTAGCTGCCCCAGTGGCAAATAGGGGCAGGGGGCTAGGACCTACCCCTCCCCTACAGCTCTTTCCAAGCCTCCTGCCCCCAGCTGGGGAACCAGGGCCAGGAGGTCCCTGCTGCCAGGGCAGGGGGATACTGCCCCTGCCTGGGCTTTGCCAACAGAGCCCACCCTGGCAGCAGGCAACTCCCAGGGGCAGGAAGGAAACAGCCGTTTCCTGGCCGTGTGCTCCTTGCCAACCCATGGGTTAGCACCCAGGGGAAGCCTAGAGATTCTCCTGGCTGCTGCAGGGGGATGGTGCAGGGCCAGAGGGGGCCAGGAGCAGCAAATCTCCTGAATCCCACACATGTAGCTGCATGCCCAGGGTGGGTTTACTCTAGAATAAATTACTGGGGGCAGGGGGATGTAAATTACTCTAAAGTAAACCCATCTCTAAGCATTTGCATGCACCCAAAGCATAGCTAAATATCAAGCAAATACTGAACTTGGTGGAAGCAGGTCTCACATACATTCAAGTGTTAAAGATGGTTTGTCTCAAAGTACCATCAGCCAATTCTGTCCTGATTCAGTTCCCAGGAGAGAACCAATCTGAACTGAAATTTAAACAACAAGATAAACAATGGCTAATAATAGGGGAAATATTTTTTTATTTATCACATGAAATATGGGTAAGAAGGTCAGGATTCAAGTAACTAGCAACAGAAAGATGCATATTGGACACCAGTTTGACTAATCCCTTCAATCAGTCCAAGGCATGGGAATGATGGTAAGGCTGGGGCATTGGAAAGTTTCATCTGAAGTATGTAGAGGAGGTTATAACCAGGGATCCTGGCTTTCTCTGTTTAAAAATGACAAATTCTCTCATTAAAAACCTTGCAAATTCTCTGATTAAAAACCCACAAATCCATGAGTAAAATTAAATGCCACTATTATGGTACCAGTTGAACACAATGTTTTATTGCTATATTTACAATTTTAAACCTATTTGGAAGCCTACTAGTGCCTCAATCGCTATAGTAAAATAAATTCTAAATTCATGGAAAATCAGAGCTCCCCCTGCCCGCTTCAGTCACCAGGACAAGGGTCCAGGTGTGGCTGTCTCCCTGCCTCCCTCCAACTCCACCCCCCACTGCTTTGTGGCACAGGGTAGCCCTGATATGCTGCTGCCCTGCCCCTACCATTACCACTTAGTTTCCACCCACAGTCTCCTGGACCTGCCAGTGCCCCTCATTCCCCACCTACAGCCCCCACAGCCCTGCTGGCACCCCTCACTCGAGTGGGGAGCCAAACCTCCTGTAACAGTTTGCCATCCCCAGTGGCATTCTAGCAACCTGTGACAGGCACTCTTGAAGTCAATACATCAATACATCATACATTCCTGTATTTTGTCCTGTAGCCTGCTTTTACTCGCCTGCCATGTCTTGATGTAAATATTGTTCAGTTGTTCTTACAAGTGGGAGACTGCCTATTGTATGCCCTGACTAGGGCTGTCCTTGCATGCTCTACCACTCCTATACATGCCTCATGCCTCGCAGATGTTGTTCATATTTCTATGTTGGGGTTCTCATCCACCACAGGCTTTTTGGCCCCATATTTCTCTAGCTAGACCTACCAGCCTAAACCTACCAGGTAGTGTTTGACTCTGAGGATCTAGCTCCTTAATACCCTCTGGGCCCATGGCCCTCCTTTTGTGCTCACTACAGCACCAGGCCTTCTGGTCCCCTTTCACACCGCTGCCCCCCTGGGCACTGAATTGCTGGGTCTTCTGCCTCCTCAGGCTTGACCCCTTCCTTATAGCCCAGGCTACTAGCCTAGATCCACCCACTAGGACCCGGATTCAAAATCCTATTTTCCTGCAGCCAGCTCTGGGCCCCTGGCCCTGTACAGCTGCACCCACTAGTGCACTGGGCCCTTTGGCCTTTTATGACTAATGAGGCCTCCTCCTCCCCTACAACCTCAACCACAAACCACTGGAGTACCAATCAAACACAAACAGTAAGCCCCTGGGACATAACCAAAATAAAGTTAAGGAAGGCAGTCTGCCAGTTCACATTTTTCACACCTCTGTTCTTCTGCTTCCCACCATCTGCTGTGCTCCTTCTTGTGGGGCTGCTGCAGCATCTCTGGGAGTCATCAGGAGTCCACCCTCTCTGCAGCCAAGCCCCCATAGCCAGCTCAGCTCAGGGTTTTTATAGTTTTGGCCTACCCACTTCTGGTCACCTAACCAGCCAGCAAGGCTCAGTTTTTAACCCCTACCTACCCTACCAGCAGGCTATGCCCAGAAAGTTCTGGTCCTAAAGGGGCCAGCCTGCTTTCTGGTAACAGGGCTAGGATTCTCTGTTACGACCCCCACCCCCCAGAAAAGCCACCTGCAGCTCCATCCCACTCTCTGCTTGTGTCCCAGGGCCACACATGGACCTGGGCCCCAAGGCCCATGTACCTCCCAGACTGGGCAGCAGCCCCAGCCCCAACCCTGCCCAACTCCCTCCCTCCCTCCCTCCTTATGAGGGCCTCAATTTCCACACTCCCCTCCCCCCTCAGCCCAGACTTACCTGCAGGAGCTGATCTCTAAAGCCAGGCTGCCTGGCAGCCATGTGCATGTATGTGTATGTGCACACATGCACATGGTGCCTTCTGCCTCCTCCCACTCCCCCAACCCCTTGCAGCCTGGAACTCTGCCAGCCTGCAAGAGGAAACCCACTTTAACCCACATTTTTCTCCTTTAAAGGAGTAAATCTGGGTTTTCCACCTTACAATGAGAAAATCTGGGTTTTACAATGTTTTTCTGTCACAAACAGAAAACCCGGGCCCATGGTTTTAACATTCTACTATTGGTGTTGTTAACTACGCTACAAATTAGTTACTTGTGCTTGATACCTATTTTCAAATGTGTCTCTTACAGACAGTGCAAGCAGATTACATGGTAATAGACCTTCTAAGGAAGAATATTTCCTGTTACTCCTTTTGTCAAAGAAGAAATTAAATATATTTGAAACAAAGCAGATATCAATTTGCATACATAATACAAGGTCCTTGGCTCTGACTGAGATACCCTCAGAGCAGTTGAAGATGCTGTCCTTGAGCTCTTCTGATGCTGAAGCCAGCTACGTGCTGGGACAGCACCAGGAATTAAAGAAACCTTGACATTTCTCTAATTTATACCAGCTGCCTATGACCCTAAAAAAATCCATGAAGTTTAAGAGCATCAGACCATAAGGACACTACTGCAAATCCTCTTCTTCTGGGAATATCCCTCTAAAGAAGGAAGACAAGTGGGGCACAGACTCATCAAGGGGGCATAGCTTTACAAGAAGGATCCTATTTTCTTGTACCATTAGTGTTGCAAGGCTGCTAGTGCAGACACACAAAGCAGGAAGAAAATTGTGTAAATAAAGAATTTCCATATTTTCAAATTCCAAAAATTGACAGCTCTCCTCCTTACATCCCATCCCAGTGCCTGTCCTAGCACACATTAAAGTCTTTTCATTAAAATGATATGGCTCTTAGGTAGAAGTGTCCTCTTTTATCCTTCTAAAAACTAAAAAGAGAAGGTACATTCTGATTATTATTTTCTGTTGCACAAATCCCTTCTTTAAGGCACTGCTCTATAATTGAGAGATGCATTCTATGCTCATTCCCATATCTGAGAGATATTATTTGGTGAAACAATAAGGCAGCTAAGGAACTGCAGGCTACTGGAAAAAATCCACCTCAACCCATTGGGCCTTGGCCCAGAGTTTGAAAACACTGGATCTTGGGCAAATGGAAATATTCTATCACAATATTCTATTTTGTATTATCTGTTTCATTCCTGTCTAGATAATTATATCATCCTGTCAAAGAACACTAAAGTTTTAAATATACCAAACTATTTAGAACTGTATTTATAAGACATATTACAAAACATGCAGCAAACATTACTGATGGATAAATGTTGTTATATTTTCTTTCCTTTTCTTTTTTCTGACCAAAGGAAACACCACAAGCCAGTGTCATGGTGCCATCACTGTAGAATTACAAGGGCAGTAAATGGCCCTCCCTGGTAGATTTAAGAATATACAGATGCCTAGACCAGTGGTTCTCAATCTTTTTAGACTTAAGGCACCCCTACTTAGACTCAAGGTCTCCCATCAGAAAATGCCAGCTCTTAGTTAACTTTCACTTGTTCTTGGACTACGGAAAAATAATAGAGCAATTCTTCTGTTGCAAAAAATTCATAAAGACCACGAGTCAGAAATGTTTTTAATACTGAATTTCCGTTTGAAACATATGAATCTTGTTTGCACAGCTAACAGTGCTAACACTGGGGGAAGTGTGAAGACCCAGGAAACTACAGGCCAATTAGCTTAACTTCTATTCCAGGGAAAATTCTAGAAACATTTATTAAAGAGGCTATATGTGACAAACTTGCAGAAGGCATGATACTGAATGACAGCCAGCATGGCTTCGTCACAGACAGGTCTTGTCTGACCAACCTCATTTCTTTCCACGATCAGGTGACTCATCACCTGGATGAGAGAAAAGCAGTTGACATCATATACCTTGATTTCCAGAAAGCCTTTAACCTGGTATCTCATGAGGTACTGATCAGAAAAACTGGAAGATATCGGGCTTACCTGTGGGACCGTCAAGTGGGTGCGAAACTGGTTGCGGGGTAGGACACAGAAAGTTCAAATGAATGGATCGGTGTCGTCCTGGTGAGATGTGGGCAGCGGCATACCCCAGGGGTCGGTACTTGGCCCAGTGCTGTTCAATATCTTCATCAATGACCTGGATGAGGGAGTGAAAAGCCCATTGGCCAAGCTCGTGGATGACACCAAGATATGGTGTTATGTGGACACACCCGTAGATAGGCTGCAGATACAAGCAGACCTAGACAGGCTGGCATGTTGGGAAGAATGGAACCAGATGAAGTTCAACGTAGAGAAATCCTTCTGGGAAGGAAGAACCCCCAGCACACCTACAAACTGGGCATCATTAACCTGACCAGCACTACAAATGAAAGGGATCTGGGGGTAACAACAGACCCCAGCATGAATATGAGCCAGCAATGTGACACAGTAGCCGCTAGGGACAATAAAACTCTGGCATGCATCAATCAATGCATCTCCAGTAAATCCAAACAAGTGATTCTCCTGCTTTACTAAACATTGGTGCAGCCGCAGCTGGAGTATTGAGTCCAGTTCTGAGTGCCACACTTCAACAGGGATGTGCTAAAGCTCAAGAGGGTCCAGAGAAGGGCCACCTATATGATCAGGGACTTGCATGGCAAGCCATACGAGGAGAGGTTGAGAGATCTCGGACTCTTCAGCCTAAAGAAAAGAAGGCTGAGAGGGGACCTCATTGCGGCTTACCGCTATATCAGAGATGTACATCAGGGGCTCAGTGAACAACTATTCACCAGGGTGCCCCGTGGGGAAACTAGAAACAATGGCCACAAACTCCTGGAAGATTGTTTCAGGCTGAACATTAGGAAAAACTTTACAACTAGGGTGTCCAGACTATGGAACAAGCTCACCGCAGAGGTGGTGCAAACATCTACCCTAGAGGTCTTCAGGAGAAGACTGGACAGTCACCTGGCTGGGTTCGTCTGACCCCAGATGTCTTTCCTGCTCATGCAGGGGGCTGGACTGGATGATTGTTCAGGGTCCTTTCCAGCCCTATGATTCTATGTTTCTATGACTGGGTGGCACCCTGCAGCACCCTTGAAAGGGTCTCAAGGCAACTTGGTTCAAAATCACTGGCATAGACTCAAGCTAAATATTCTCTTCTAAATTTAGTTCCATTGCTCAGGCTCAAATTACATAACTGTGTCATTTTTGTGGATTTCTGTGGCATCAATGTTCAGAGGGAAAAATGTTTGTAGAAAAGATGCTTTTAAAACAGGAGTGTCAAATTCATTTGACTTCATGGGCCAGATGACAGGCACAGGGCCAGTCTGTCAGCTAGCCCCACATGCCAGATCCAGCCCATAGGACTGGTCTGGTGTATGCCCTTTCAGTGCACATACCAACTGCAGCCCTGCACATGGTATGCACATGGCATGTGGACTGGTCCATGGTATGTTACACACAGCACACAGGGCTGGTCTGGGGCACACACTGCATATGGCCCCTGTGCTGGACTGATCTTGCGCACTGGATCCAGTATGTGGGGCCAGTCAGTGGGCCTGATCTGGACCAGCCCACGATCCAGCATATAGGGCCAGTCCAGTATAGGTACCACATATATTATGAGTCCCAAACTAGCCCCATGCCACATGCAACCAGCATCAGATGGACTCCACGCACTGTATGAAGTGTAAAGGGCTAGGGGCAGTGTGTCCTGCATTCAGCTGGCAGCACCGCAGGCTGGATGATATGGCTCTGCAGGCTGCATCCAGCCTGCAGGCAGTATCTTTTATGCCCCTGCTCTAAAATATCAAACCAAGTATAAACCTTTATCTTTATGGTAAATCCTTATCCCTCCACAAATACACTAAGGCCAAAATATCTGATTCTTGGTGCTGTTTCTTTTGAAATTGAAGGGACCTAGAGGTACTCTGCATCTGCGATTAAGCATATAATTTGGAGGCAAAACACTGATCAAAGTGCTTATGTTTCAAAAGTCTCCCTTGTGTCAGAATTCCCCCATCCTTCAAAATTTTGCCCATGTTCACTTTTAGTTTGGGACATTTTTTGTATTTCCTACTGGAATGATAAATTGCTATATAAAATGAACACCTAATGAGTTGTTCTAATGACAAAAACTAGATCATTATTTCCATATGTTTTTTCCTTTGTGAGTAATCAACAAACTTCTGTGGGAAGACAGGATTGGCTTCACTAGCTCAGACCACAATCACAAATCAAATCCAGAATCCTGTTTTCTCTAGCAGTACTGACTATTTTGTACATCAGAGGAAGAAGATAACTCTAACCTGTCTAGCTGGTTAAGTGAGACTGTACACTGGTCATCTTAGGCCTTATTTCACCAAACACAGTTACAAATTATAGTAAAATTATCTAGCCTAGCTTAAAATTCAATAGTATATTTAAAATAACCATAATAATCATGCAAAATGTAAATCAGTCTTTTTCCTTCTACTTTCTATTGATAGATTGAAGATCAGATATCTAGATATAACTGATATTCAATATAATATCTTGATTTTTATGTCATGCCTTTTTACCTGGCTTTTTAACAGGTTTATTTGTTGCTCCTCAGCATTAAAAGGTCAAAATGATTCAAAGAGATAAAACCAAGTTCCAGAAGAGACTTAGTCATGCTAAGTGACTTGTTGACTTTCTGTGGGGCATAGGATCCAAATACTTGAAGGCTTATATACACTACTATAGCAGCAGTGCATTCGGGATTGGATATTTCCAAGCATATCCCACCCACCCAGTCTTTTACATATGCTCTCCACACCCAGAAATATGTAGGTGAAGCTGTTCTCCAGTGGTCACTCTGAAGCTTGCTGCAGACCAATGTCTTGAGAGCTGTCACAGGAGGATGTCCCACAGCATCTTCACCAGTGTATTCCCGGGTTTGTTGCCTGCACACAGGAGTAGGTGACTGCATCATACTCGGGGACATCCCAGCTAGCAGACTGCAGACATGCTGTAAGTCACATTTGAAAATGGAACTTAAACCTTGCAGCATTGAATTGACCAGGCCTGAAATGCCTTTAAAAAGCTGGGCCAAAATCTCAAGTCACTGCCTGAGTGAACATCCCGGGATCTGGCTCGTAAACTAAATTATGAGAAATTTGTCCTGAAAAACTTCAAAGGTTTTGCCTAGCTAATATGCCCAAAGGTGTGTCTGGAGTCATTAGGGAACAAAGACCTGTCTGGGAAACATTATTAAGATTAATAACAGTGCATTCAAGATTGGAAGGAGGCAACCAGAGGGCATATTGCTTATTGCCCATATCTACTGGGGACTGAGATGAAAAATAAATCAAAGACAGACTGTTTTGGAAGAGGTTTTCAGAGAAATAAAGAACCGCTGTTTTTTTTCCTATTACAGATACACACACTCCTCCTTCCATCTGTGAGGATAGATTGAAAAGACACAGAGGTAGAAATAAGAGATGGCCTTTGAACTGTGAGCTAAGTCAAGGAGTAACATTTTCATACATGCCTAAGTGACACTGGAGTTTAACAATAACTCTTTCAAAAGTCATTTAGGAATTTAGGAGCCTGAATAAATAGAGTTTAGGTGACTAGGTCATAAGGAAATTTTACTTGAGGATTTAGGTACATAAGGAAATTTTAGTTAAGGATATTTCTTTCATGCCATATGCAAAATAGTCATACTGGGGAACCTGAGCTTATTGCTTGTGTGGGAAGCAATAATATTATTTTAAGATTTGCCTGCATTTAACTGTTATTTTTTTATTTTTCTCTTCATTTTTTATCTTGTGCCAAATAACCTTTGCTTTTGCATAAGGAAGTTGGATTTGCATTTGATGACTTGGAGAAAGGCAATCCGAGCAGAGTATTTGATAAAGAATGAAATTGCTCTCTGACTGTAATTAAGTATGCATAAATTTAGCATAGAAGAAGGATGTGAAGTAGCAGAGGCCCTGGGCAAAATCCTGTCAGAGGGCAGGGGAGGGGGGACAGGGACAAAGGGGTGGAGGCATGGTATTACCTGTTTTGGTGACTCAAAGACCCCAACTGCAGGTGCAGCAGCTGCTACAGCAGCATGGTGTGCCAGCATGGCTGCTGAGGCACAGACTCCCCATTCTGGAGTCCCCTCTAAATTGGCTCTTGGGCCTGGTGCCCCACTCACCCATCTCTAGTTGTGCTACTATGCTAAGTCTGGCTAAATCAACCCAAACCAGAGGTGATGAATGCCAGGGTGGATATGACAGGGGATGGAATACAGTAGACTAGACACACCGTGTACATATACTCTCCTTCTGAAGTATCATCTACTAGCTACTATCTGTGACAGGCCCCAGTATGGCACTTATGTTTTCATGTTCAAAATCTTGTTTCTTTTCACATATATCAGATGGCTAATTTATTTCCCTTGAAGGTTAGCCCCAGGGGAGGTGTATAACAGAAATTTTGGAATGGAAAAGAAACAGAAAGAAATGTATGACTATAACATCAGACTCATGGATTCCAATTACTCAGCTTGAATTCCTTAAAATTGCTAGTCGGAGGTAACAAGATAAAGGGCAATTGATTCAATCAGTTTTAAAGCATTTTTTCTGAGCTACTGTAACTAGCACTTGACTGCTTTTATCCCTTTTGTTAGGAACAATTGAAAGAAAGAGATTTGCACTTGACTGAACTTATTCTTTAAGCTAAAAGGTGCCTGCAGAAGTATACCCAGAGTGTATACTAATATAATTAGCAGAAAAGGAAAATGGGGTGTGTGTGTGTGTGTGTGTGTGTGTGTGTGTGTGTGTGTGAGAGAGAGAGAGAGAGAGAGACAGAGCGAGTTTTGAAATGTGTGAATTTAACCAATAAGGGCTACTTTTCTGCCTATTGCAGGATTAATCAAGGTAGCATACTTCTGCAGAATTAGGGTATCGCTGAAAACAGCCAAGTAATTAGGCATTAGGTTTGTTGATAGACTGATTTTTTTCAAAAAATGTTTATTCACATGACTAAATTCACTTTGGCTAGTGGAGGGAAGTGGAAATAGCACCTGCATGCACTAATGAAGTCTGCTGTGATCAGACAGTTTTCGGCAGCTTTGCATGGAGGATTTGCCAGGGGTAAGAGGATTTACTACTCACCAAGGACTCTGTGGGACCCACATATGCAGAAGCAGTAGTGAAGACGTGCTTTCTTCCTTCCCATGTCTTCGTTGTGAATCTGCAGAATTTGAAGCCTCGTTGGAACCTGACAGAGCCACACAGTGGGCGTGTCTAAACATGCCACTACATTGCCATAGCAACGCACTATGGCGACGTAACCCATTCCTACAACGAAGTAGCATCAACAGGCACAAACCGTAGCGACGAGCTACCTCGCTACATCACATCACTACAGCAATGTATCTGCCAAAAATTACCGAAATGACAGCGCAGTAACAACTGTGCTGCAGGGGGCATGTGTAGACATTCCCACTAAATACTTCTGCTGGGCTGTCAACCCTGCACCTTCATGCCCAGGCCACCCCAGTCCCCTAAAGATATGCTGAATTAAATGTATCATAGTTTCATAGTTTCATCCCTTGATATTGACATACTGCTCCCTTGCCATCATAGCCAATGGGATGGGTCTAGTTTTCCAGCAATGAGACCGATTCATCTGAAAGATTAGTGCCAGCTGCTTTACAGAGCTAGGGCAAATGATGTTTCATGATGGTTAGATATTCTCAGAAGGAAAAAAACAATCTTCCTGACTCCCCTCAAATTGTCCCTTATACAGTATTTTTCTATCTTCTTTCCTGTCAGAGTTAGGAACCTGGATCAAGGACTCAGTTTAAAACATTCAAACTATTCAATCTAATCCTGCTATTCAATCTTCAGGTATATATGGCTCCTGATCTTCTCAGAGTTTCACACCCTCCTAGATTTGAGCTGCTGTCAAGTTCTGCTACCCCTTCCTCACAGCTATTCACTTTTCCTTCTAGATATTTTTATCATCCCCTCTCTCCAGCTGGTTTGTCCAAAATATGCAGCAATGGCCACAGTGTTTAGCACAACAATATTCAAGTCACCCTACGTGACCAGCAATAGAAATGTTATTACTGCTCAGCTTTCCTCCATGTGATTGTGCTCTTACTGCCAGATGCAAATTGCAAGTACTTTTCCTCATAATCACTCCCCATTCTGAAACACATTTGCAGCCACCTCATTTTAAAAGTCCAACAGTGCTGACAAAAATAGTATAAATGTAGGAAGCATGCTACATTCTATGCTAGTCTTTTGAAATGCTTCTATGCTGTTCTTGGACATGAAAAACTTTGTAATGCAGCATGCAATATGTCAAAGAGGATATATTAATAAATTTCCTTCAACAGAATGCTACAGTGAATTGTAGTATTATACAGAAGCACAGCTGCTGTGTAATACAGTCTTGCAGTTAAAAAACACTATATAGTAGAAATCCTTTCAACATGTAAACATTTCACTGGCACCATTCTCAGAATACTGGACATTTTCAATGCACAAATTCCTAAAGTATAAACTGACAAGCTGTATTAATGTGGCAGTAAAATGTACTAGTCTGAAAACTACATTTGTAAAATATTAATGAATTCACATGGTTGTCACTAGAAAAAAAACTGCACTGTCAGCTCAACCTCCCTTCTCAATCCCTTTTCCTTTCTGCCCTCTATCCACTGTTTGTATTCCATGAAATTCACAGTGTGAGCATAAGAATATTATTTTGGAAATATAACAGTGAAAGATGTTTCATTTAAAAAAGAAAATACAGCTGCTGCTATCATATTTTGGAACAGTCATTTGAATCATTGTACCCGTTACTCATTGATTTGGAAGTTGATTTGGTTTCCTTAATCGCTTCGTTTGAAAACAGAACATATAAATACATGTCCTGTTTTTCTTTTCTTTCTTTTCAAATTATAAAGCAAACTGTCCAAATCTTACCCATGTAACTAGATAGCTAAGGCATGTCTCTCTCTGGCATAACTATGGGTAAAGTTTGGCCAACTGTTAAAATTACTACATGTTCTAGTGTCCCAAATCTGTGCTGTATAGAAATTACCTTTAATGAAATAGGTGTGAAATAAATTAACTGATATATAGGAGGGATATAGGTTGTAGCCATGTTAGTCTAGAGGCAAAGGCATCCAACACTTTTGAGGAAGAGGTGATATCTTTTATTAAACCAACTAGGTTGGTCTAAAGATATCGCCTCTTCCTCAAGAGTTGTGGGTGCCTGATATATAGGAGGAATAGTGAACAACTTGCATTCAAGAGAAATATCTTTAAAAGCCAGATAGTCCCATATAAACACATAGCGTGTTAAGCCAGAGACAGGGAAAAAACATGTTTGCATATGTTTGTGACACACAAACCTTTCAAATTAATGAGGGCATGGCTCACAAAAATATTAAAGTAGTGCTTCTAAAACATTTTCTTTAAAGGGACAGCTGGGGTAAATTAGGCTGCTATTCAGACTGTAGCATTGCTACAGATGTTAAGGTGTAAATGTGTTTTGCAGGAACTGTAGATTATGTGCTCAGATGTATACTGCTTTTATTAGGAGCTCAAGCACCACATTTCGAGAAATATGAAGAATGACAGAAAAGAAAAGAAAATGCCTTTAGAGCTTAAATTACAACCACATCTAATGAACTCAGAGGTGTTTTCACTTACTTTGGTATTACTTTTCAACTCCTGCAGCTTAAATGAACCTAGTGATCATAACAGTAAATATGGGCTCAAAAGATATCCCAAGAGGTGTCATTAGTCACATATTACATACTTTTCTAATTTGTACACTTACCATGTTGCAGGATTTCACAGGACTGCTGAAACCTCCAGAATTTCATGTTTCCCTCAGCAGTCTACAATAAACCTTAGTCTGAATGACATGTATTATTTCCTCAATGAACATGTGATGTAGGGAGGTTTGTAAAAGATTTATCGTAAGTAAAACTAGGTGTTTTATTTCCAATCTAATTGAATACATTATTGTGCTGTGTTTAAAAATACTGCGTTGATGTATTACACCTCGGTACTACTACACACACACGTCATCTGCATCCAGAAAGCTTATTAGACTACAAATCAGAATACAGATGTTGGTAGGAAGACTAGGTGTGCCAAGTTACATATATGTTACTGAACAGTTTTAGTACATAAGTCCCAGTGAGGAAATAAATACAAATCTGATGAAATAGTTAAACAATTTGGTCTTCTTACCTGATGAAAATGAAGGTACTGACAGAAGTGAAATTCACTTTGCTGTATGGGTGATAAAGGGGCTATAATGTTATTTTCCTATAGACTAAATGGCAATAGATGCCACTAGATCCAGTAAGAGTTAACCATAGGATATAACTTCAAAGATCACCCTAGGTTAGAAGGTCAGCACCAAGTCATCTGCATTGCTTGAATTCCACAAGAAGGGTGTAATTCCCACCCCCCGCCTACAGCCTAAATATTTGGACCCTCTGCAGGTGAAGTGCAGAGCTGTTGGGGGATGAGAACTCAACTCTTTGCTCAACCCATGCCCAGCATATAGGACTAATGTGCAACTCAACTCTGCAGTTGCTTTTTCAGCCTCTCTACAATTACACAGGGTATGAGGTTCTTTAGATCCATATAAATTAATATAAATGTGGACTCTGTTCTCTGACCTGTCCTCAGCTCATAGCCATCCAGTCATAGAATCAGAGAAAAGGAGAACTGAAAGGGGCCCCAGGAGATCATCTAGTCTAGCCCCCTGCTCAAGGCAGGATCATCCTTATCTAAACCATCCCAGCCAAGTGTTGTCTAAACTATTCTTACAATTGCACAAACAAACATCTAGCACAGGGGTTTTCAACCTTTTTTAATAAGTATACCCCCAGCAACTCCCTTTTTAGTAAGTGTACCCCTGGGGGGGTGGGAGGGGTGGCAAGCAGCTGGATGCCGAGTGGGGGTGTTGCGAGTGGCAGAGCGGTGGCAGCACAGCGTCTGTGCGGCCCTGCTCTCACCCCGCCCCAGACCTGCTCCTGTGAGGCAGCAGCATGGGGTGGTGGCACTCCATCCCTGCCCATCCCCATGTACCCCTTGGGACCTTTCAAAGTACCCCTAGGGGTACGTGTACCCTCGGTTGACAACCCCTGATCTAGCACAATTTCCTAGCACACTGCCTGAAAACATCAAAAACACCTGAATTTCTTACAGGTAAAGCATCCAACACCCTCACTGGAGAGCAAGTATTCCCCATTCTGTCTTTCTATCCCCTCCATAAGCTTGTCCCTAACTCTTTCACTATTTCATCTTGTTTCATAACCAAGCCAGTTTGAAGATCTGCTTCATTCTCCTGCTATTGGGCATGATCCTCTCCAATTACCACCTGCTCTGGACTGCAAAGCTTTTCTTTTGATCTCCAAGCAATGCAAGCCTGGGGGTCTCCTGAGCTTCCAACTGTTGCTCTTTATAGCTCACTTGAGCCATAGTTACTCAAGGCCTTCCCTGACCAATACTTACCAATCTCTTCTTGAAAACCTCCATTGAATGACATGCTACAACTTCTGTAAACAGTCTGTTCCACTGCCTCACTGTTCTAACACTGAAAGAGTTTTTCTTGTTAGCCAGTCTAAACTGACTTTGGTGCAGTTTCAAGCTACTGTGAGTCCTACTCTCTGCAACAAGAGAGAAAGATGCACCCCCCTCTCCTTTGTGTCAGCCATTCAGATATTTGAAGACTGACACCATGTCCCTTCTTAATCACCTTTTCCACAAGCTTAACATACATATTTCTCTCAATCTCTCTTTATATGGCTTGCCTTTCAACACCTTTAGTATTCTTGCTACCTGCCTTTCGACCCTCTCTAACTTCTCCATGTCTTTTTAAAACGGAGTGTAGGGCACACACAATACTCTATAAAGCCTAACCATTTGAGTGATTTGAGCTGATCTGAGTGGCACTATCACCTCCCATGTCTTACACCTAATACTCCTGCTGGTGCAACCCTAAATCACTTTTTTTTGGTGGCCATTTTTTAAGCTGGATAACTTTGCTGGATCTGCAGGGTTGCTCATCACTTCCTCTTCCAGCTACCTCTGGGATTTGTAGTCCACAGTCACAGCCGGCAGTAAGTTTGAGTGGGGTAAGGGATGTTTAACTCCCCTCCCTGGCTGCAGACCCAAGCCAGGGTTTGTCTGGCTGGAAGGGGCAGTCCCTCCCTGTAGACTGGGCTGCATCCCCAGCTGGGCTTTCCCCCCCACCCCACTTCCTTGTCAGCCAGCCCTTGCTGCTCTCTGAAGCAGTCAGCACAGCACAGCCCAGGGCTGGAAAGCATGTTGGGATGCTGGGGGACTATGATTCCACTTGAACCAGGAAGGGGTCTCGGACAGAAGTTTCATAAGCAGGTTTGACCCAAATCAGTTGAGTCCAATACTACATTCAACCGGGTTTATCATAAACCAGTTTCAGCCATCTTGAAATTGGTTTATGTGCACTGAGCTTCTGTTCTGTTACAAGTTTAAGCCAGCTTCTGATCACTTAAACTGGTTTATGTGTAACTTCTGTTCCTAGCCCAAAAGAAGTTACATCATGGGTGACCAACCTGCGACTCACATGCCACAAGTGGCAGGGACAGCCTCTGTGTATGGCATATGGCAGACTGGGGAGGAGGCAGGCAGCGCAGTGGCAGACAAGGCAGCAAGCAGAAAACAGAGCAACAGATAGGGCAGGAAGCAGAAAGCAAAGCAGAAGATCAAACCAAAGGAGATTGGAGTGGTACTTGGGAAACCTGTCTAGCTAATTTGTGGTGCCTGTGACAAAAGGGTTGGCCCCCACTGAATTATATCATACTTCTCTTTAAACTAGAGGATGTCTCATCATTCTACATTCCAGAAACCCTTTTACTAAGAGGGATGTAGGTATTGGTCTGTTAGCATCATCTCTGTAGAACCAGTCCTGCTCTGTGTGCCTCCACACTATCATTATGGAAGCACAGTATGATCCCATCCTAAATTGGAACACTTGGAATTTTGCAAGTTTAACATTATTTAAACCCAATCATTGCCATAAGATCTTTTTTCAGTTCAGTTTTGAAGATAATTTCATTGTTTTGTTTTTCTGCCCAACACCATAGTTTAATTTTCACAGATCAAAGACAAAGCCCATTATCTTTTCCTCTTGAAGCACTGAGATTCTGAACTCTACTCAATGTATTGTTTTGAAAAAAATAATCCTTGGTCTAAAATGGAAAAACTAGATAATCCTTCTTTTAAATTATCTGTAGAATGAACTTATTATGAAAAAATATAGTGAGCCACCACTACAACCCTGAAAATTAAAGTGAGGAGTTTTACACCATTAAGAACTCCCAAGCAAGGTTTTGTACTAGGGATGCCTCCCATATGGATTTGGAATGCATTTGTAGACCCATGATTTAGCGATTAAATTTACAAGATGTTGCTAAATAGCAATACCATTGTAAGTTCAGCAAATGTTTGAAATGCACTTGCAAATTTAGGGATGTTTCATTGCTGCTCACATTTCAATAGGAAAAAAGTTATTAGCAGAATACTATAATTTTTACAGATTACTCATTAGAAATGAGATTTTGACAAAACAGACTTTCTGACTAGATACAGTCAGGGCTGGGAAAAGCAGGCTTTACAATGAAGGAAAAATTTGGAATAAATCAACTACCTAAATCTAAATTAGAAAGTATTTGTCTGAAATTGTTTGTCAATTAATTACTTTAATGTTTGTGTGTGCGTGCGCGCACACACACACACACACTATAGATGCGTGTGTGTGTGTGTGTGTGCGCGTGTATTTTTCCCTTTAGAACAAAAACTCCCTTTTAAATTCTTCTCAGTCAAGTTTCACTGACAAACTTGTTTGATGGGCATCAGGGACCTGAAGCAAGCTTCAAGGGAAAAAGTAACCATCACTCATGCTTCATTGGATTTCTATGACAGAATGATCAAATTCTGTAGAACCTGGCATAAGCACATCATTATCAAGCCCTGCTTTAGCATTTCTTAACTGATCACGATGCTGAGGTCCTTGGTGACTCCTGTTTTCTGGCACTGTTTGTAGTTATTTGACCTTTTCTCAGTGGATAATCCACACAAAAAGCCCTAATTACTTCCTCAGCTTTGAGCGGTCCAGCAGTGTGAATAATCAATGACACTGATTTAGGTATTGCACAATCAGATGCTTATGGTGTTTAAAGAACATTTTTCCATTGACCTGACACAGCTGTAGGACAATACCAAGCATTAAAGTTGCTGCTGTAATCACAAGTTGACCAAGTGACCTTGGGGGTCTGAAGTTGATTACTGGGGCCTTGATTAGACAGTGTTAGGATACACACCATATTTTTAGTAAGAGTTCATCAAGTGTTAACAAAGCAGATTAAATGCACCAAACACAAGATCTTAGTATGCAAAGCAACTTTTATAAATAATACTATCTGAACACTTCCAATATGCAATTATCTCAGTTTTTATTTTAGCTGTGCAGAGAATATAGGATACCTTTCTACCAAATTTGAGGTTGAAAGGATCTAATTGCAACAATTTAAAGGACTCTTCACTTTATAGCTACACTGTAACAATTGTAAAGGTGAATCCAGAGCAATAAAGAGGGAAGTTGCAACTGCTGACATGCTTTTAGAGCTTGGACTATCTGAGAGAAGGGGAGTCAGAATCTTAATGTAAATTGCATAGAATCATATTTGTTATGCTTCTCATATTCACACTACATGAAGATGCATTTCATCAATGTGGATTATTTGGCTTAATATTAGTATCTGCCCAATCTTTCACCTTTTTTTTTTTAAGCTTGTACTGTTTTCTGTAAGGAACTTTGCCATTTCCAGGAATGAGCTCTGAAAGGACAACTGAGGTTTGACTTGTGGATGGCCTTAAAACAAAACAAATAGGATGCTTTTTTTTTTTTTTTTTTTTTAAATAGAGAGGGAAAAGTGACATGAAGATAGCCTGAATAGAAAAAGAGAACGTGGAAAGGTTAAAGAAAGGAGTAAATTCAGAAGCAGGGATTGCTGGAACACAACATTTCCATTTCACAAACTTTGAAGTTAAGGTTTGTTTTAATTCTGCATTGGAACATCCCCAAGAACTTTCAAGTGGGCAGTGTAGATTCAAGTGCACCCCCTCTGGTTGAGGAGTGATAACTGTGAAGTCTAAGCTAGCTGAGTCTACCGTAAAAATTTAAGTCATGCTGGGAGTGTCTACACGTTGCCTTAGAGCAACATTGCTATGGCGCCATGCTTTAGTATTTCCTTTTGGTAGTACTTCCTTTAGTACTTCCTTTTGGAAGTACTAAAGCACAGTCCAGTAACCACCCATACTGCTCTGTGCACATGGCACGCGGGTGGATTTCACCGCTACTTTGCTGTAGTGGCACACTAGAACAGCGGAGCGTGCCACTATGGCAAAGTAGCTGCCTATCACATGTAGACTCATGTGATCACTATACTACCATAGTGCACCATGCAGTGACATAGCATGCCGCTACAGCAACGTAGGGTGATGTGTAGACACACCCTGTATATCAATATTAAAAATGCCTATTGCATAGGAGTGCAGTTGTGGCTGGGACCTCCTGAAAAGAAATGATTACCTCACTTGCTGATTGCCTCACTCCACATGCTGTCCTAAGGCATGTTTACAATTTCCCTTTGATAGCTTTTCTCTCGTGGACAACTCCCTTTCTTGATTAAGTGTTGTCTATCAATCAGCTTGTCTTGATTAACTCATCCCTCCCCCTCCAGTGGGCAGGAGCATTTACTATAAGAGATTTGTTTCATTTCTGTTTTGTATACTTTGTTTCTCTCCTGGTAGTTGCTCAACTTTGAGAAGGATACTCAATATAATCAATTCCCTGATGGGCTTCAGCTCCAATATTGTTCAAGATCCATCCCCAGCAGCCAAGACTTCCTAATAACAAAAGGTGGACCATTGATTAAGCAAGACCCAGGCAGTCAACACCTTCTTCTTTAGAAGTAGAGGACATGAAAGGCTTTTGTGCCTGGACTTTAAATTTAATTTATCTAGTGATTAACAAAGAATGCCTTGAAGATGCTGGAGTCAGAGGTATAAAATAGGGAGCAGGATGGCTAACAAGGTCCACTTCAAGAGGAAAGAAATCACTCAAAAACACAACAGCTGCAACTAAGCACCCAGCTGTTCTCAGGCTACAGATCACACCTTGGAGGGAGCTGTAAAAGTCTCTTTGCCTGTGGGGTAAGAGACAATTGTTTCCACAGCTAAATGCCCCACTTGGGTTGGGGCTTCCCCGACTCTTGTGGCCAAGATCAAGTGCAAGAAACAAAGCTTGTCTGTCTTTATTAACTGTGTTGTTGTGTCAGTCCTGAAGTGTAAGATCCCCTTCTTTTGGTAACAGGAGGGCCCAGAAACTGGGTCTCACAATATCAGGTAAGTGCCCTAAACACTAGGCAGTTGGGCTATATAGGCAGGTATGCTCTGCTCCTCATAAACACTAGGCAGTTGGGCTATATAGGCAGGGATGCTCTGCTCCTGTGAGAGACCTATGTAGTTCTCTGGATGGATTAGAATTAGTAAAAACTACCCATCCCCAGGAGAGTGGTATGTCTCCTGAGGTGAGATGTGTTTGTCATGCTAGCTGTGGGAAGACCAAGACATAGAATAGGATTTAGGTTTTACAGTCTAAACAACAAAATGTGATATGTAGTCCAGGCAAATAAGCAGGCAGATATGAAGGGGATTAGGTAACAAACATAACAGGATTGTCAGTGGCTGTGACAAGAATGCTCCTTCTGCCAGGTTGTACTTTATGGTGTGATTCTGGAACAGATAATGTTTTGAGAAGGACTTGAAGGATCAGTGAAGGGCTTATGAATTTTAACTGGAAAATTACCTCCTACTCATAAACAGCAGTGTAGAAGAAAGTGCTTATCAAGAATTGCAGAATCATGAAACTGAGGCTGCTGTCATTGCTGAGGTAAAAGCAGGAGTTAACTTTGCAATAAGCAAATAGGTTGGATAGGCAGAATGAAGTAAAGCTACAGAAGTCTTTAAAGGTAGAAAGCTAGTATTCTACTGCACTTATATCCTTTTGCATAGCTCACAGTGGCCTGCTTTGGGATACACACCTTTTGGATAGCTATCTACTCTTGTTCCCATTTTCTTCCCTTTGCTATATTTTATCCACAAAAGAGGATGCAACACCCTTGGCCCTATGGCAATGAGACTTGCCATGACACACAGCAAAACAGTCAAGCTTCCCCCTACTTTGATCTCCTTTAACACCAGTCAGAAATAAGTTCTTAAATTCCACCTCTGTTCATCATGTGGTAAATAAGTGACACTACCATCCCACATGCAATTGAAACTGAACTAATACATGATAGTCAGAGTGTACAATCAGAAAAGTTATTGCAGAATGAGGAAAAAGAGACAGAACAGTGCATGTCAAGTGAAGAAGGTAGAGCCTTGAAAGAAACGTTTACCAAGTATACTGAAAAACTCAGAATGCAAGATATATACGTCCCCAGGCACTTCTAGTTTGTATACCTAGAATGCATGAGGCAAAAAATCCAACTTTCCATAAAATTTTACTGACATTATACAGGCAATATTTTTGGAAGGATGAACTTAGTAGGAATGTTGGGCGTATCCCCATGAGCATGCATGTGCATTTACCAGTGGACAAAAAGCAGCGACACATAGTTGTGCCACTGGTACTTGTCCCTGAGGAATGCCCCTGCACACACGCTATGACATGCAGCAAATTGTCCTGAGTGGGTGTAATGGGTAATGCCAGTATGGGTTGTGTTGTATACTGTGGGTGCCTCCCCTCCAGGGAAACCGTCCCTTGGGCCCAGACAGCTTGGGTCTCAGCATGGCTTACTTATATTCTAACTGAAGTATACCCTGCATGAGGGCAAGATTTGGGGCTCCGCCTCCCCTTATACCCCTTCCACACGCCAGCCGGTTCGCCATAGCAGCAACATACTTCAGGCCTGTGAGCCATATCCTCTGGCCACTGCAGGTAACACTCAGTCCTCAGTTGCAACTTTCAGTGCCTTCATACAAACGGCAGCACCATTCAGCAGCTCAGACATTGGCTTTCTGTAAAATAAAGACTTTAAATCAGATCATGCCCTGGCCCCCAGTATAATTAATGGCCAACCCAGTCCTTGGTCTTTAAGTGAACTTTTCTTTAGTTCTCTCTCCCCTCAACCTGGGTCACGGTTGCTCAGTTATGTGCATTCACCTGGCAATGTCCCTGCTACCACTCAGAGTTCATTACTCCAAGAAAGGTAAGTCCAGTAACCTCACTCACGTGTTCCAAAGTGAGGTTAGTTCTTTCTTTCTCTGTGTGTTGTGGGCGTTGTGCAGAGAGAGTCAAGACTCCTTTTCCCTTCTGGATCCTGGAGTTCCTCCCAGGTTTTGCTGCCTTCACCACTGATCCAGGCATCCAGACTTCCAGTGTCCTGGGCTCCAGCAAGCACCCTAGGTGAGGCTCCTTTCCCCTCTGTGGCACTGGTGCCAGGGGTCACATCCCCGGTGCAGCAGAACATGGGGTCAGGCTTCCATGTTGTCTCTGCTGCCCTGCTTTTTGCCGGTACCGGGCTTCCAGTTATACCAGCAGTTCCTGCATACCTGCCTATGCAGAGTGAGTAGGAACTGATGAATCATGGCTGACGCTGCTCTTGCTGCTTCCCTGCCACTGCTGCGGATAACGGTGCTCCAGCAGGTATGAAGGGAATCTCACTAGCCCCTGTTAGGCTGCTGCCTGGATTCCCCATGCTGCCCAGTGGGCTTTTAGGGGGCTTTCTCCCCCAACTTGCCTTCCATTAAGACTTCTTGCTCCCACAGTGGAGTAGGGGAGCTGGGGCCAGCACTTGGGGTGGCCCCAGAAACCTTACCTGGGGGCCTCCTGGGGCTGCAGTGGTGGTGGTCCAAGCACATGGGACCTGGCTGGCAGCCAGAGCATGGCTCTGGCCAGCTAGGCTCTGGTTTCAGGCAGCACACACTGCAGCCACATGCGCCACCCTGCTGGTTTTTTTAAGTATTTTTTTTCAGATACCAGGATTTCCCAGTATCTAATTTTGGCTACAAGAACATTTCATATGTGCTTCATGCATTTTGTGGTACCTGAAAAGCCTTGAGGCACAGCAAAGTGCACACTCCCACTTTCATAGATTCATAGATGTTAGGGTCGGAAGGGACCTCAATAGATCATCGAGTCCGACCCCCTGCATAAGCAGG